ACACACACACACACACACACACACACACACACACACATCTATACACACACACACCTACACACACACACACACACACCTCCATACACACCCCCCTCCACACACACACACCCCTCCATACACACACACACACACACACACACACACACACACACACCTACACACACACACACCCCTCCATACACATACCCCTCCACACACACACACATGCTTTTGTTCAACTTGTGGTTGCTGTCCCCAGTGGGAGACAAAAAGGGAATAAGGGTGAGTTCTTAATAGACGTGCTCCTGGGTAATTAAAGAGTACAAATCATAAAAATGAAGATTAGCAGCAGGGGCAGGAGATTCCTGAGCAGACTTGAGTTTATCAAAATCAATCTGGTTTTATATATAGTCATGTGTCACTTAACAATGGTAATGAATTTCTGAGAAATGTGTCATGAGGTGAGTTCTTTATTGCGTTGACCCTGTAGATCCCAGCGATCAAGTCACTGGTCATATCAGCCTATGTGATGTCTCTCTTATAATGTGGTCCATTCTGGACTAAAATGTGTCACATGAATGTAGTCTCAGGATGGAGTTTGATAAGAAAGGGAAAAATTATACATACTTGCTAGAGATCATATAGGAACAATGAAATGGGGCATTAGGAGAAATGTAATGGAAGTGGGTATAAAAATAAATAGATGATTGGAGAAGAGGTAAAACTTTGTATATAGAGAAAAAGACAGAAATGGAAAGATAGGGCAACAATTAACAAGAGAAAGTCAAATCAATAAGCTGCATAAATAGATGCACGGTGTGAGACAGCAGTGCTGACCAAAGAGGTTGGCAAATCTTGGAGGTGCAAACATGCTCACTCTTAGGCAGTGACTCGATACTTTGTCAGCATCCAACCTATTCACATCAGGTATGTATTCAGGCCATACCAACTGTCGCTCATGTTTTTTTTTTTTTTCTCTCTCTTCAATGACCCAGGAATCTTCTTTCCAGTTGGTTGCAGGAGGAATATCAGAAGTACAGAAGGTGATACAGATTTCAATGACCTGTTCTCTAAGTCACTTTATTTCCGTCATCACAGAGAAGAACCTCCATTCCTTTTACTCCCTTTCTTGTTCACCAATCCATAATCCATGAATCCACTCACACATGTACAACCGTCTAGCTATTCATCCACTGCCAGTCTATGCATCTATCCATTCATTCATCTATTCACTCACCCACATACCAATACAGCCACCCACCTGACAATAGATCTACCCTATTAGATAGATATCCACCTATCTATCCATTTATCCATCCTTTCAACATCCATTCTTTTCTTCTCTCCTACACCCCTCACAGATGGCCAGATGTTCAGTTTTTGAATTTTTTTCAGGAGACACAAGCAGTATAGAAATCTAAATTCAGGCTGGTTGAGATTTTCTTGAGTACAGACCATACACCAAGAGAGGGAATTTGAGAACCCTAGATGGAGCCATCAAAACTGGAGCTCTGAGTGATTGCCAGTTTTACCTAAATAGATATGGAATCCTAATATAGCCCTTTAGGGTACACTGCTGAGGGGGACTGACCACCTTAACCTACTTTTCCCCTTAGTTAAGCTAGTATGCACGTGCGAGTACAATTGCAATTGAGAAAACTCTGAGGAGGACTTTTGAAGAGGACTTGGCAAGGGAATCTCCTCCTTTGTCCACAGGGAACAAAGCCTTTTGATGACATAAAAGGATGATGAAACAATGTACAGGAATGGCAGAAATGGAATGTTTAGATTAAAATTTGAGTTGCAAAAATCAGAAACAGCAAGCTAACTAAAGAGAACAGACTGAGCTGGAGAAATTGGAGCAGTGAGGGGAAAGAGCTAATCTCCACCATGAAACAAGGTGCAGAGTTTAAAATGTGGAGAAAATTCTGTAAAGGGGAGATGCTACTAAAGAGTATATGACACAGAGAAAAGATAAAGAAGAATGAATTAAAAATCAAGCTTGCTGCCAAGCTTGATGATCTGAGTTCGATCCTCAGGACTCACATGAAGGAAGGAGAGAGCTGATTCCTATAAGTTGTCTTTGTGACCTCCATGTATGTGTCATGGTATGTGAGACACTCTCCCATCCCCAAATAAACACAACAACAACAACAACAGTAATAACAATTAAATTGTTGAGAAAAAAATTGAGAGCAAAAAATTGTCTTCAGAGAAGAGAGAAAAGATTGAGACATTGAAGGGCCTGAGTTACTAGCCAAAACTAACTTCTGGCCTAAAGTGAAAGCATTGGCTGTGAGTTTTCAGATTGTGATGTCCCCAACTTTTAAAGTGGTATTGGAAAACATACCAGGGCAACCAGTTTCTCCCAGGCATTTTTATCTGCTCTGTCTGTAAGTTAATGATCCCCAAACTCAAAGCCCCAGACTTGCCTGTCAGCTTCCTCATCTGCAGGCCTGAATATCTTCATACAGCTCTCTCAGAGACTCCTTTATCCAGATGTTTTTCAAGACCTTCAGTGTGAGACACTTTCAAAGTTGCACATGATATCTGTAATGACAGTGGACCTGCCTCCTCTGCTGGTGTCTCTGTTTCAGCGTAGGACACTATTTCTCCATCCTCAAGCAGGGTTGTTAATGACTGCCCCTCCCCAATGTAAACCAGTCTTCCAGTCTTCCCCTGAGCCCTGTCCATTGTTTTCTTTCCCAACAGAAAAACCAAATCAAATCTTTTTCTTAATTTAACTTATATGTATGAGTGTTTTGCCTTCATCTATCTATCTATCTATCTATCTATCTATCTATCTATCTATCTATCTATCTATCTATCTATCATCTATCTATCTATCTATCTATCTATCTAT